CCGCGACCACCTCTGTTCCCCCCCTCGCCTCCCCCCCCCCCCCCGTGCTGAAGCATCACAGCCCTTGCTGGCCGACTCCACACAAACACACCCGGGGCCCAGCTCTGGAGGGGGGGGGTACTGCAACCACAACTTCCTCTCTCTCTCTCTCCCAGCCTCAGTTCTCGATTTCCAAGGCCCGGAAAGTCACAAAGTGTGAAAGGGCGGGAGAGGTGGCTGAAATGTGCCTCCCTTCTCCCTGCGGGCGCTTCACCAGCCAGGGTTCTAGAACCTGCGGAATAGTGCCCCGTGGATGAGACACGGGGCGGGGGGCAACCTGCCAGGAAGACCTTCTGCATGGGACTCCCTGGGTGTGCCTGGGGGACCTTCCCGGGGGACCAGAGCCATCCACCTCCAGCTCTGCCACCCAACATCTGCCCCATGATGGAGGCGCCTCTATCTACAACTTGGCAGGCCCGGTTTCTGTAACCCGAGCTCCACCTATACACAGGCAGGGCTTAGAGAGAACCGGTGGGGACTGAGAAGATTTGAATGGACCACGGCATTACTCCCCCATTGGGGTAGCGAAAGCCAGCCAAACGTGGAAGCCTAGGGGGCCACAGATTTGGTGTAGTGGTTAAGTGCGTGGACTCTAATCTGCGAGAGCCAGGTTTGGTTCCCCACTCCTCCACTTGCACCTGCTGGATGGACCTTGGGAAAGCCATAGTTGTGACAAGAGCTGTCCTTGAAAAAGATCAGCTTCTGTCAGAGCTCTCTCAGCCCCACCTCCCTCCCAGGGTGTCTGTTGTGGGGAAGGGAAGGGAGAGGAGTTTGTAAGCCGCTCTGAGACTCCTTCGGGTAGTGAAGGGTGGAGTACAAATCCAATCTCCTCCTCTTCTTCTTCAATTTATTTACTGTTTATTTGATTTATAACCCACCCTCCCCACCAGGGTGGCTTACATAAAATTTGACAAGTAAAACAACAATGATAAATATAGCTGTAAAAAGCAGACTTAAAGCACTAGTATCAGTTTATACGGCGATGGCGAGGTAGTAATAGCAGGAGGCATACTAAAAAATACAGTCAGTGGTGGTTATTACAGTTTGGCAAAGCGTAGGCTGTCGATGGTGGCCTTGGGCACAGGGTCTTAGTTGTTGGATGCGGCTCCTTAACTAAAGGCCTGGTGGAAGAGCTCCGTTTTACAGGCCCTGTGGAAGTGTAAGCGGTCCCGCAGGGCCCTAGTATCTTCCGGGAGCTCGTTCCACCAGTGTGGAGCCGCCGCCACTGAGAAGGCCCTGGCCCTGGTTGTGGCTCAACTTGGGGGTGGGGGGGCTCTCATCCCACCCCATCCCCGGGGCAGCCCACCCAGACTCACTGTTCGTCGTAGGGGGAATCGGAGACTTGCAGGACGGAGGCCTGGAAATCCTGGATGACCTCCTGTGAGGGGGGGCAGGGAGAGAAGGGGGGCCGTCAGAAGAACCTGGCTCCCCACAACTGCAGATCCGGCCCCCTCCCAACTTGCCCTTCTCTCCTCTCGCCACCCCCCCCAAGTCCTTTCTGCTTTTCAGCCCACTCCTTCAAGTGTGTCTCCAGGCCTGTTTCCCCCCTAGCTTGCCAACCTCCAGGTGTGGCCTGGAAATCTCTTGGAACTGATCTCCAGACAGCAGAGAGGAAACGGCAGCATGGACTCCATGGCACTGTGGCCTGCTGAGGTCCCCCCCCCAAACCCCACACTTCTCAGGCTCCACTCGAAATCTGCAGGGATTTGCTGCTCCGGAGCTGCCCCCCCCCCAGGGCCCTTTGCCAGGCTCCGACGCCCTGCTTCTCTCACGTTGCACATGTAATTGTGCCAGGACTTGCTGACGGGGGGCAACTTCTCTTTCTTCTTCCAGTTGGGTGGGGCCCCTTCACGCACAGCCTCCTGGCAAAGAGAAAGGGAGCGTTGGCACACACAGAAACCCATGCTGCCCGGCCTCCTCCTTCCTCATGCCCAGGGCATGCAGGGCTGGCGGCCCTGCCCCTTCAGTGCTGAGTCCACTCTGGAAGGAGCCCGGTTTTGCACAGGCCGATAGGAATGGGAGTGGGGCGGGTGAGGAAGGAGCCTTCGCATGGGGAGCTCAGGCAGGCTCAAACTTTTGAATGCCCCCCCCCGGACTCTTCCTCTATCAGAGAGGCCCCAAAGAAGAAGAAGAAGAGGAGAGTGGATTTATACCCCGCCCTTCACTACCCAAAGGAGTCTCAGAGCGGCTTACAAACTCCTTCCCCTTCCCCTCCCCACAACAGACACCCTGTGAGGCAGGCGGGGCTGAGAGAGCTCTGACAGGAACTGCCCTTTTTCAAGGACAGCTCTGACAGAACTACGGCTTGCCCAAGGTCATCCAGCAGGTGCAAGTGGAGGAGTGGGGAGGGGTTCTCCCAGATTAGAGTCCTTGCACTTAACCAACAAAGGTGGCTAATTCTCTGCGGAAGAGCCAGTTTGGTGTCGTGGTTGAGTGCGCGGACTCTAATCTGCGAAAACTGGGTTTGATTCCCCCACTCCTCCACTTGCAGCTGCTGGATGGCCTTGGGCAAGCTGTAGTCCTGGCACAGAGCTGTCCTTGAAAAAGGGCAGTTCCTGTCAGAGCTCTCTCAGCCCCGCCTGCCTCACAGGGTGCCTGTTGTGGGGAGGGGAAGGGAAAGGCATTTGTCAGCAGCTCTGAGACTCCGAGTGATGGGTGGGGTAGAAATCCAATCTCTTCCTCTTCTTCTTCTTCTCCAAGTCAGCATGTGTTTGCTGCTGCAGATAGCTTGGATATTCTCACTTAGAGAAGGAGAAGGGAGGTGTCCCAGCCCTTGACCCTCTGATGACCACTTCCCTTTACTCATAAGCCGGAACACAGCTTGTGGCCCCACTCAGGCATATCTGAGCACCAATCGCCCCCCACTTTATCTTGGCCCCAAGCCCCATGGCTCCACCTTGTCCTGCAACCCCCCCCCCCCAGCCACTGGTGACCCTCTAGGCTTTGGGCCAGCCCGGTCTTGGGCCAAGAGGCCTTTCCCAGCCCCCCACGGCCCCAAATGGTTTTTTGCTGGAGACGCGGGGGGGGGGAGTGTTGAGCTGTGGGCCCTTCTACAGGCCAAGGGCCAGGTGTGCTCCCCAGTTCTGGGCAGTGGTGGAATGGGAAGGGGGCAATACCACCTTGGCTGCGATCATATATGGTGGGATTATCTCAATGTTCATCTCCTGGAAAAGTTCTCGACACTGCATGGAGATGAAGTCGCCAGCCAGGGGGGATTTCACGATTCCTGAAAGAGCCACACAGAAGCAAAGAGCTGAGAGTCCTCCCCACCCCACCTCCTCACCCACAGAGGCACATACACACACGCCCCAAGCCCAGGGTGCTGGAGCCTCAAATCCTTTGCTCTGCGACACTCCCTGAAGGCTTTCAATGATACCCTGAGTGTGTGGGTGGATGGGTGGGTAGGGGGAGTAATGGTCAAACGGCAGGTCACCGGTTTTTAAGCCTGCATTTGATCCTGGCTCGCTTGCTCTCAAGGGGTTCGTCTCTTGAAGCAAAAGCAAAGGGGAGTCTTGCGGCACCTGAAAGATGAACAACTTTTTATCCCAGCCTCAGCTTCCGTGGACATGATTTCGCCTCTGGGTGCAACAGCGGGATCCTCACTAGGCGGACACTTTGCACAAGAGGTTCTTTTTTAAAAAACACAGCAACCCAAGAAGCAGAGTCCAGGAGCCATGAAATCCAGGAAACAGGAAACGCAGTCGTGTGCAACTTCAGTCACAACAACAACAAAAAAGCACGGAGAGCTGTCACTCGTTGGACTCAGCTAGCTAACACGGGGGGGGGGGGGATGAAAAGCAGTAATGCAAAATACAGACCTTGTTTTCAGAAAAGAGAAAGCAGGGGCCTCGCCATTCACTCACTGGCTTTTAACATTTATTTACAGCCCATATTCTCCCAGCTCAAGACCCAAAGGGGCTAGGCTGACGTTGCCTTTCTTCCAGGCCTGCACCCTCCCAAGCGGAAGCTTACTTTGCCCCCCACCCCAGCCAGCCCCCAGCCAGCCTAACCTTGCTGGAGAATGTAACCATCGTGCACTGGGATGGCTGTGGTGTGGGTTGCCCCGCTGTCCAAGACCAGGCCGGTGCTGCGTCCGTTGGCAAAACTGAAGGTCCGGAGTCAAGGCTTCGGTGGGAGAGCAATGTGGGGGCGGGGGGGAGGTCGGCCCCTCCCAGCCCTTTCGGTAGCTCCTCCTTCACTCAGAATAGTCACATCCTTCCCACTAAAGGGCAGGAAGGGGAACCAGGACAGTTAGCCCATGGAACGCCCTGCCACTGGTGGACTGGGTCCATTTGGGGGTGGGGGTGGGGTCATTGTCTCCCTCCAAGCAGAAGGATACGCAGTCAGCACAGCTGTCTTGCAGAGGAAGAAGGCCGGGATGCTGTAATGCTCAAACATCAACTCCGTCAGCTTCTCCCGCTTGGCCCGTGTGTTCCACTGCAGGAGGGCAAAGATGGAAGTGTCGGGAGACACAGGCACGTGCCACGGGAGGGGAGGAAGGAGAAAGGAGCGGGCAGGACACCTACCGGGGCCTCGGACATCAACACGGGGTGCAGGTTGGGGTCCGATTTGATGTGCTTGTTGTAGGTGTGATCCAGGATGGCTTGGAAGCAGTCCCAGTCTTCAACTGGGGAGAAGGACAGAGAAGGAGGAGGAGGGCCCAGTGAGGCCAGCAGCCAGACACCCCCCCCCCCAAGCCTCCCCTGGGCAGGGAGGACAGTCCTGTGGTCAAAGGGCTCTTCAGAGCGACACTGAGTAGGGCTACAGTGACCTCTTCTAGCACTTTAAGAAACAACCAGGTAATGCTCCTCAGCACACACCAGAGCTGTCCAGCACCAATGCGCTTGCAGACACAGATGCGGAAGACTGCCCGAGGATGGGCAGGAAGGACTAAGGGTGTTCAGTGATCACTTCAGCAGAGGACCTGCCTCCCTTACAGAGCAAACCCTGCTTAAGGTAAAGGTTTCCCTTGCTCGAAAGCCAGTCGAACCCGACTCTAGGGATGTGGTGCTCATCTCAGTTTCCGAGCCGAAGAGCCAGCGCTCTCCGAAGACATTTCCGTGGCCATGTGGCCGGCATGACTAGACGCCGAGGCCCACGGAATGCTGTTCCCTTCCCACCTAAGCGGTACCTATTTATCTACTTGCAATTTCTTGCTTTCGAACGGCTAGGTTGGCAGGAGCTGGGACCAGAGTCGGGAGCTCCCTCCGTCATGCGGCACACTCAGGTCTCGAACTGCTGAACTACCGGTCTGCAGTTCAGCGTCTTAACCACTTGAGCCACCACAGCCCTTAGAATCTGCCCGGTCCTCATGGCTCCCAACCCAAGATGGTCTTTCCATCACGGGGTATACTGTCCAAGGTGACCTTCTAACAGGATGCCTGAATCCCGGAAGCTTTCTCCATCACACCACCTCTAAGCCGGGAGCAGGCAAGTGTGCCAAGGAGCTGCCTAGAAGCAATGCCAGAGTGAAAGGTGCCCCGTGGAATGAGTCCGTCCTCCCCTGGTGCTCCATACTCATCCCGTTCTTGAGGGGCGAGACAACCTCCGTGTTCTCCCGTGGCACATGCAGGGAATTGGTGTCGATGTAGTAGACCTTCCCGGCCTTCTTATCCTTGTCTCCGTCCAGCTCCATAGCCGACTCGTCGTGGGACAGAAAACCCACCGTGGTGGGGAAATCTGCCTGCAAAGAGATCAGCCACTGTGTGGAAGGGGGGGGAGGGACCGGGAACAGCCCCCCCTCCTGAAGCAGTGCTAGCTCTGGCACACCCGGGGGAGGGCACAGGGGGTGAGGCTGTGCAGGGAAGTGGGCATGCACCCAAAGACAGAACGTTGGCGGGCTCTGGAAGGACTCATACCTTAGGGCAGTCTTCTCCTGCATAGCCGGCCCGCACAGAGAAGGAGCCGATGTCAAAAACCAGCGCCCCAACCTCATCTGAGAAGGAACCAGAGAGACTGTCAGTGTGCAGGTGCCGACCTTTGGGGCAGAGGGTGCGGAGCAGTACTTCAAAACAGAGCTGACCAGTTAAGGACCCAGTGCTGAAATGCAGAGGGCTCTGGGGAGAAGGCAGCTGCCTACACACGGACGACACAGAACTGCAGAACTGCATGCTAACCAAGATTGGGGGTGGGGTGGGGAGCCCTGTGGATCAGTGACGGGGCCTCTCCTTCGCATCCAGAAAGCCCTGGGTTCAATCCCTAGAATCTACAGTTAAAGGACCTGGCAGGAGGTGATGTGGAAGACCTCTCCCTGAGACCCTGGAGAGCAGTTGCCAGTCCAAATGGACAATATCGACTTTGGTGGACCAAAAGTCTGCTTTAGTACAAACTAGCTTCATGTGTGTTCATAAGATTGGGGAGGGACCACGGCTCAGTGGCAGAGCCTCTGCTTGGCACACAGAAGGTCCCAGGTTCAATCCCTGGCACCTCTGGTTCAAAGGACCAGGCAGGAGGTGATGGGAAAGACTTCCTCTGCCTGAGACCCTGAAGAGCCAATGCCAGTCTGAATAGGCAACATTGACTTTGACGGAACAAGGGTCTGATCCAGTAGAAGCCATTTTAGGGTGTCCACAGATTATCTTAATCACATACATATTTCTCTAGATCAGGATGCATCTTGAACCAGCCCACAGCCTCACTACACACAATTCTCCATAACGATGCCAAACGTCATCCAAACAACAAAGTGGATCGCTGGGGCACCTGAAAGACTTAACACATTTATTGCAGTTTTCATGGGCTCGAGCAGGAAAAAAAAAAGGGTGACTACGTTAGGTAAAGGTTCCCTTGCTCGAAAGCCAGTCAAATCCGACTCTATCTCAGTTTCAAAGCCGAAGAGCCAGCGCTGTCCGAAGACGTTTCCGTGGTCATGTGGCCGGCATGACTAAACACCAAGGCACACGGAACGCTGTCACCTTCCCACCAAAGTGGTACCTATTTATCTACTTACGTTACCCCGTTTTTAAAAAAAGCAGTCATGCCTCTGTCTGAAGACAGAGAATTTAGCCGTGAAACTACAGAAAATGCACCCAGAGAATTCTTAGCTAAACTGATCACTCAAACCCACCCCTCTCCCCGGTCGCAGGGCACCATCCATTAGGAAGTCCCCCTGCGGAGAGCGTGTTGGGCCCTCGGTGCTGGGGTGCAGCTGCCTCTGCGAGAGGACCGGTCAGTCTGCTTGCGCTGCCACTGCCTTGGCAGCGGAATCCCCCAAGTGCTATGGCATGCCAACAGCAGCAGAGCCCGGCAGGCAGGCAGGCAGGGAGGGCCTAGCTGGAAGTCCAGCAGTTCTCCCCACGACAGCGAGGCGAGGCACATGCCGACACAAGCTCTACCTCCACCGTAGACCCCTCCGCTCATCCCGGCTGAGTGGCAGTTCCAGCTCCCCCTTGCAATGCTCCTGAGGGTCTCTCCTGCTCTTGCAAGGGGCAGGGCTGGGTGGATTCAGCACTGGGGCCAGTGGACAGCAACCGGAGGGGGGGCTGCAGAAGGCGAGTGAGATAAGAGTGGGATGGGGGGGAGCCATGCGTCGTGGCCAATCAGGGCTCTGCACCCCCATCCCCAGCACAGTCCCTGATTGGCAGCCTTTGGAGACAATGAGAGTACGGCTGCATTCTTAAAGGAGCCAAGACTGTGGGGGCTGGATGGGGTACGAGGAGGGCGGGGGGGGGAGATAAAAATGTAGGAGAGCGACTCCCCCTTTGAAGAGCAATTCAGTTATAAAAGACGTCCCAAAATGTGTTGTTGAGGGATGTGGGTACTCTCAGACCCCTAAGTGTATGTGTGTGTGTGTGTGTGTGGTAGAGCAAAGCTCAGACTGCCAGGAATCAAGTCCAAGGGTTGGCTAACCTTGAGGTCTGAAAGGTGCGAAACCACCTCTTTTTTTTAAAAAAAAAGGGCATGCCTTTGAGCGTGTGCAGAGTGCCTCTCCCTCACTACTCAGTGAACACAGCCGGCCACAGAGCGGAGCAGGAGGCCACTCCAGGCTTCAGCCTGAACCCACTGCCTGAGAAATTAGCAGGGGTGGCCTTGGGGTCCCATTATGATTCCCGTCCCCAAACGGATTTTACGGGACGCCTGCCTAGTGACCATCATCCCCCCCCCCCCGACCCTGGGCAGGGGCACCATCACGCCTCCAGCAAAACAAAAGTCCCCATACAGCATGTTTAAGGAGGCTGCTTCCCCCCCAGTTCCTTTCTGGGATGACCCAAAATGGCCTTTTGGCCCTGGCCTTCCCCCTTTTCTGCTCCTTCGCCTACAGTCTTAAAAACGAAAACCTCCTACTTCCGAGGTGTGGCTTGTGGCTGCCAGGGTGCATTTCGTAAGGGCCTGGCCTAGGCTTGAACATTTTGCTGCAGGCCGCTGGGCTACACTCCCTGTAAGCTGTGGAGTCTTCTTGTGAGCAAAAGGTCTACTCTGTGAGTGGCTGGCATTCAAGTGGTGAGCGAGCGACTGGGCTGCTGCATAAATTCGTCTGCTCTGGAGCCCCTTCCTTCCTGAGCCGAGACGGCGGCTAAAAAACTGTGATCTAGCTCACACTAACTCACCTTAGAGGGAACACTGCTGGGAAGGCTACGGCATGGGGGAAGGTGAGCGGGCTGGAGGCCACAGCTACAGGCTTCTCTGGGGTGGCCCGGATTACATCCCCGTGAGTTTTCCTGAGGGAAGCAGGGTTGTCCGCTCTGGGTTGGGAAGCTCCTGGAGATTTGGGAAGGGTGTGGGGGGGTGGGGGGTTTCAGAGCAGCCATGGCCTCCAGCGGAACGGACCCCCACAGTCTGCAGACCTGTAGCCCCATCTCTGTCATCAGTTGTCATTCCTGGAGATCTCTCCTGATGCCCCCTGGGGGTTGGCAACTCTAGGAACTGGTCTTTGTAATCTGGAGAGCAGCTGTGGTTGTGGGAGGTGAGCCACCCTGGTGGGGAGAGTCGTGGGGCGCCTTTCCCCTTGTCCTTTTGGGCCTCTGGCCCTCCTACTTTGGTTCCCCCAGCCAAGAAGAGCAGCTTCCCCCCTTCTGAGGCGATTCCTGCCCTACCCCAAGACCACTTTGTAGTCTATCATGTCTTTTCTGCGGGACGCCAAGTGCCCCCCCCACTACTGAGCAGGAAGCACCCCGTGAGTGGAGGAAGCCACGGACAGGCTCCTGCCGGACCACTAGGCCCCACAGCTGCTAGGCAACTGGGCTCCCGGTGAGGAAGAGGCCCTCTGCAGCACCCCGTGGCTGGAGACGCTTCCAGTGAAACTGGTGAGGCCCAGTTCTGAGCCACTCGTTTCGCACTCGGGTCCGGGAACACACAGAGGGCCAAAAGCTTTTACTCCGGATTTAAGTGGTTAAGAACATATGAGAAGCCAACGTTGGATCAGGCCATTTCCATTGTTTTCCTGGAAAAAAACGGGGTTTTTTATGAGCTTCAAAATTTTCGGAAATTTTACATCTCTACACTAGAGATGTAAAATTTCCGAAAATTTTGAAGCTCATTAAAAAACCCGTTTTTTTCCAGGAAAACAATGGAAATGGCCTGATCCAACGTTGGCTTCTCATATGTTCTTAACCACTTAAATCCGGAGTAAAAGCTTTTGGCCCTCTATGTGTTCCCGGACCCGAGTGCGAAACGAGTGGCTCAGAACTGGGCCTCACCAGTTTCACTGGAAGCGTCTCCAGCCACGGGGTGCTGCAGAGGGCCTCTTCCTCACCGGGAGCCCAGTTGCCTAGCAGCTGTGGGGCCTAGTGGTCCGGCAGGAGCCTGTCCGTGGCTTCCTCCACTCACGGGGTGCTTCCTGCTCAGAATGTTCCATAATCAATTTTTTTCTTTTCTTTTTCCAATTTTTGGGAAAAAAACAAAAAAGCTTCAAGGAAAAAAATGGAAAAAAACGTTTCCCCCCCCCCCAATTTTTCTGGTTTTTTTCCGGGCCTTCACATCTCTAGGCCAGTGGCCCATCCAGCCCAACACTCCTGTATCACACAGTGGCCAACAACACCAGGTTCCGTCAGGAGGTCCAGCAGTGGGGACAGGACACCAGAGGCCCTCCCACTGTTGCCCCCCCCCCAAGCACCAAGAAGACAGAGCATTCCTTGCCCCAGAGTCCCTATCTATACCTTGTGGCTCATAGCCACTGATGGGCCTCTGCTCCATATGCTTACCCAATTCCCTCTTGAAGCCGTCCATGCTTGTAGCCGCCACCACTTCCTGTGGCAGTGAAGTCCATGTGTTCATCACTCTCTGGGTGAAGAAAGACTTCCTTTTATCCGTTCTAACCCGACCGCTCAGCCATTTCATGGAGTGCCCACAAGTTCTTGTATTGTGAGAGAGGGAGAAAAGTACCTCTTTCTCTACCTGCTCTACCCCATGCGTAATCTTGTGTTCTGCATTAGCATCACCATAACACAGATCAGAAGGCCCCCCCCAGAAAATTAACCACAAAGAAAAATAGTGTGTGGGGCAGATTTTTTTTGTTGTTCAGTTGCACAGTCGAGTCCGACTCTTCGCGACCCCATGACGGACCACATAACGCCAGGCCCTCCTGCCTTCGTGCTCCGGAGTTTGCTTAATTTCATGCCGGTTGCTTCGATAACACTGTCTAACCATCTCATCCTTTGCTATCCCCTTCTTCTTTGACCTTCAGTCTTTCCATAGTGCTATATGTGGGTCAAGCTAACAAAATGAGTTGTTATAAAAAGACAAGTATGTATTATGGTGTACACATTAGTAAAAGATAAAACAGGTTAAAAGAAGTGATCCAAATATCAGACTCTTAAAACTTTTTACACACAGAGCTGAAAGTTTTACATATACAAGTGATGGGTATATGTTATAACTAGATGGCCATGCACGTTTTGGCCCCTTAAGGCCTTCCTCAGTGGTCAATCATTACTATTGTAGAACGCCAGGCATCCAGATCTAAGTAGACGAGCAGAGATTTCCTCTAGAGCCAGGTGTTGCCTTCTCATGGGATGTGCAGTTGCTAAAAGTTTACGCAGGAGGCCAGGGATAATGCAGACGGGACAGGCTCCCCAAACTGTTCTGGTGACAAATACCCAGCCTGTCTGGACGCTGGTGACGACCGCTGATGGAAGAGGCAGGCATCGAGACAGACACACGCACGCACGGGGCATCTGTTACCACCACGCCCGCCTGCAGTTAATTCTGCAGGGCGCTTCGCCAGGTGGAGGAAAGCGGCGGTCCCTTTGCTCGGCGGGTGGCCCGAGTCCGGGGGGCGGCGGCGGCACAGTGGCACGACGCCCATTACCTCCCCTCCCACCCCCCCGGCCTTCCTTCCTTCCTTCCTTCCTTCTTCCCTGGC